CATGTTTATACTGGGGGCCAAGTGGGAGTAAATAGCCAAAATCCAAAATTTATGTACATCATGGGACCGTCCCATGTAGCCGTTACACCATACCATACTCCCCACCGATTTTACGTCCGTAGCATTAAAGTCATGGAACCCCATTCCCAAAAAACGATCATTTCGACCGTTAGTTAGCAATATTCGCAGCCAAAACAGAGCTGTTCCTTGCATCTCCAGTCTCAACAAACACATACGAACATCTCTCCACCGAAAATGGCTGCCGATTATGCATTCACCCACGATGACTTAGCCATTGACGAGTGTCTCGGTCACCCAAGGGCTTATGCGAAGATCTGCCGAGACCGCAGCGCTGGCCCCTACACTCTTGGCCCTCCATTCACTTACACTCCTTATGCTTTTCAGCAAAATGAGGTAAGGGCTTACACCTTTGGCATTGTGTTTTGTCTTAGAGTGAAATGGGTTGGAGTTTGGTCTCTTGGGCTTTTCTAGTAAGTAGAAAAAATGGAAAAAAGATGGATACTTACTCATGTATAAAACATTTCTTGAGTTAATTTGCAGAGTTTGAGAGCAAAGGAACTAGAACAGTTATTCCCAATTATTGACCCAAAAGCAAAACCAACAGCCAAACCAAAGATTTTTGCCAGTCTCCTCTGGAAGCAGCTCAATCACTTAGGGTAATCTTTTAAATTCTGGGCTAAAACCCTCATTCATTAACAAAATACATGCAAATGCAATGAGATTTCTGATATTACTTGCTGCTTGTCAATTTAGGAATGCTGGCTTTGATCCCACTGTTATTCGAGTAGACCCATATGGCAATGTTTTGTACTATCATGCAGATATCTCTTCACCACTCTCTTGGGACATTGATCACTGGTTTCCTTCCTCAAGTACATTATTCATTGCTCACTAAGCTTCCTATCCTTTCCTTTACTTCTCTTTCTATTCCTCATGCTTAAATTGTAGTTGTGTTTTTGAAACTTTAGGGGGAGGATTGACTGTTCCAAGCAACTTGAGGATATTACAGTGGCAAGTGTGCAGGAGAAAGCACAAGAAGCTAGAATTTCAAGTTCCATGGTGGGATCTTCAATTGGGCATTTCTGTTAACCAGTTCTTGTCAATTTTTGCTTCTTCAAACTCTGATTTCAGGTTGGTATCCTCAGTCTCTGCCTTTTGATGTGTAGTTAGAAAACTTGAAAGGGGTATAAAATACAAGCTGCACTAATTTTTTGGCAGGCACAGGGCCTTTTCCTTCTTGTTTGCAGATGGTGAAAATGAAGAAATAAATCCTTCACAAACAGTGGAGTCACATTCTTTCCCACGGCATTTTGTGGAATCAAAGCAACAATTAGGCCTTGCTCCAGCTGCCATTGTTGTAACTCGTAGGGAACCATTTGATTCTTCATCAGCCTTGAAATCACTAGATTACAATAGGCAGATAAGGCCACATTCTCCTGGAATTGGTTAGTACTTAGTATCAATAAAAAAAAAAAATCTAGTTATACATTTTATTGCACAAGTGTGTTTAATCTTTTAAGCTCCAATGTTTTGCAGTCCCGACTACATTAGTTACCAGACTACAAAACACTCGTCATTGGATGGAGTGATTCTCCCTTAATATGAGGGTCCACTCCTAATCCAATTGCTAGTGTTTTGCAATATGATGCACTCAGGACTGCAAAATACATTTTTTGAATCTTTTATATCTCTTAACACATTTTTCTTTCTGTTGTCTTTAATTTTGTAGCTCCAAGGAAAGTGAGAACTAGTGCTTCAAAAGAAAATGAAAATCCAGATTTTGTTAGGAACCCATATCAAGCCATTGCAAGGGCTAGAGATTCCCTTAAACAAAGAGAAGAAGCTCAGGGGAAGCAAGCATTGATCCAGAAATTGGATGAAGAATTGAATGAAATGAGAAGGAAAAATGATGAAGAAAAGCTGGCTATACAAGATTTGGAAGTGGAGCTGATCACGCGTAGGAGGCGGGCAGAAAACTGCAGGCGGCTAGCAGAGGCACAATCTTCATACAGAACTACGCTAGAAAAGATGATTCGGGATGCAATGCACCAGTTAGATTCACAAAAACCTCTTTTAAAGATATGCATCTATTTTCCATAGATACAAAATACTAAAGTTCCATGTTCCCCTGCAGGAGTGTGATTTATAAGGAGCAGGTGAGGCTGAACCAGGGTGCAAACAGTGCTCTCATGGCTAGACTTGAAGCACAGAAGGAAATTTGCGATGCCTCAGAGAAAGAAGCCCACAAGAAATTCAAACAGCTGGACGAGCTTGAGAAAGAGATAATACCGGATTGGGAAGAAGGAAGGAAGAGATCAAGGATGGATGATACTTTATTTGAAGGAAGAGATAGAAGAAATGTTGTTTATCTACCAGGAATCAGGACTAGGACACATTTACACAAGGAGCCGAGAGCTTTTCTTGATGAAGAACAGAAAGCAGCTAAAGCTGGTTTATCATTGAATGAAGGTCTAAAACATGAAGAGCAACTGCAACATCCTGCAAGAAGGAGTGCAAGAGGAAAACTCGTGGAGCATGACAAGGTGATTGGTTCTTTAAAAGATGAAAATTCAATTGAGTGGAAATTTAAAAGACTAGAAATAGAAGGGAGTGCAACCAAGATTCGATTCCCACTTGTTCAAGGATCAGATAAAGAGGAAGATGAAGAGAGCAGGAGGCAGCGTGGGAAAGGGAATGTAGAGAGGTGGCTCCAGATATTGTTAGAGAACACTCAAGAAGAGATGGATTCTGAAAAGATACATGGAAATGAAATCACGAAAGAGGTGGGTGAAAAATATCCTCAGAAGGAGAAAGAGGGAGCAACACAAATTCTTGAGGAGAAGGATTTTAGGA